AAATTGCCAAGGAAAACCAACAATTGGTGCAGATTCATCTCAATTCCTTTTTGGGTTTTGTTTTTTCCATAAAAAACGGCTCTAATCAAAATAGAGACGAGAGAGAGAGATAAATAAAAAATAAAAGCAAGCTTACGAATCCATAAGGACGACATTGGCATGGTCTTGAAGGTGTCTAGCCAAAAGGGATCCTGCAACACCCCCTCCAACCACCACCACCAAACAAAACAAAACAAATCAATTTTCTGGTTAACTAAACAAAAAAATAATTGACAGACCCCTTATCAGTATTTATGCAAGGCCTTATCATATTCATTTTTTATGGTTAACTAAACAAAAATAACAACAGAGATTCATTTTTTTTTTTTTTCTTTCTTTTTTTAAATACATGATGACTTCATACTTTCATAGCGTGTATAAATGTCATATTTCTTATTGTATACAAATTTTTATAATTGAGATAAGATGATCAAGCACCCAAAAATAGTGTTTTGAGAGGATTCGTCTATGATACAAACAAATTACAAGAATGAACTTTGTTAGTGGGGCAAATAACAAAGTTTTGTTTGGATCCATGTGAGCAATAGATGTTCAATTCATTAGTTTAAGGATTTCATGCAAAATGTACTACCATTTAAACTTATTTATGTTACTTGTATAGAAAATCATAGTATATTTGTTGTGTTTTGAATATGAGATTTGTAGAAAGAAAAAGAAAGAAATATAAAAATGTAGGATGAGAAAATGAAGTGGAAGACATTTATTTGGGTTAGGAAAATGTAGGATGAGAAAATGCTGAGTTAGGAAAATGACAAGGAAAAAAATATTTATTTGTCCAAAAAACTATTTATTTAGTTACCTCCAAAAAACAAGGAACTAAGTAACGTAATCTATTGTACTATTCTTTTCATTTGCATCAATAAATTTTTTATTTTTGCTGACCAAAAAAATAAAATTTCCAAACACAATAATAGAATAATGATACTTGTCTAGTTGCAATTTAGTATTTATTCGCTTTTTTAGTCTTTATTGAATTTTTTTAGTTAATGTCAAAAAAAATTTACTTTCTTAGTCTAGAAGGATATAATTATTCTTTTTGAACAATCCAAAAAAAGTTCAGTAAAGTAAAAAATAAAAATTCAAATAAATCAAATTTTAAGGCCTTTTGTGTGTGTGTGTGTGTGTGTGTTCAGTGGACCTTTTTTTTTAAAAAAAAATAAAATTTTATTTTTCAAGCCTACCTAGTCTGTTATGATTTTTTCTTTTATTTAAATTCACAATAAAAAAATAAGAAAAAATTATTAAAAAAATAATCGTCAAATCTACTTTTGTTCGTTGCAACTTTTTGGGAGCCTTGACCATTTTTTTAAAGAAAATTACAAATTAATAGTGCTTTCACACGATATTTACAAATTCATGAATAGCTTATAACTGTAACTATAAAAGTTGGTAAATTTAGCACTAATTTGATTTTTTTTTTTAAATATATATTAAATTAAACACTTTTTTCACCTTTATATCCATGTAAAAAGATAAAAGATTGTGCCTGAAACAGTTCTTCACACTCTCATTGTCTATCCAATAAGTTCATGGCATTTCAAATCCAACTACCAAAAAATGGAATGGAATGGATTGGATTGGATTTTGATTGTGAAATGTTTTTGTTTTGGTCAACAAGGGGTAGTCCACCACTCACCATCTTGTCTCTCAACAACCTGCAATGACCTACCATGGCATGGTGTTACACGTTTAGGCCTCGTTTGGCAAGAGGCTATTTTAGCCAATTAGCCAAAAAGTTACTAAATTAGCCAAAAAGCCAACAACCCATACCAAAAAGTCAAAGATTCTCTTTTCTCTCTACTTTTTGCACATCTTTTCGTAATTAGCCAAAAAGTCATCCCAAACATACAAATTTTTTTTACCTAGCTTTTTAGCCAAATAGCCAAAAAGTTACTAAATTAGCCTGTTCCCAAACGAGGCCTAAAATGACTAATGAAAGGTGACTGAGAAAGGAGTAGAAGAAGATGGAAAGTTACAAAAAGAAAAAACGAAAAAAAGGAAAAGAAGTAGATTAAACTTGACTAGTTAAACCTACAATTCAATTACGGTGTTTGAAAGGAGTGATTTAGCCTCCATTTGGGAAGTGAGTTGATTTTTTAATTTTTTAATTTTTTTAGTTATTTTAGTCTGGGTTAAAAAGTTTGGTCTGAGAAAGATTTTTTTGACTTTTTTTGTGAGAGAACAGTGTAATGATTATGGATTGGATGTGATGTTTTGTTTATTGTGGTTAAAATAACATATTTTGTCTTTTGTGACTAAAATAGCCAAAAAAACTCTTGCCAAAGTGAGAAATGAAAAGAAAAAGAATTTTTTCTCAAGTTTAATTTATAATTTAGGTGAGAATTGGTAAAACACACTGAAAAAGATAACTCTCTTATTTTACATATTTCATTAAAAGTGGTAAAAGTTCTATTTGCACACACCATATAATATTAAGAATATAAATGTGAATTTGATAGAAAGAAACTAGACTCATTATTCAAAGTGTTCATTGTATTAGGGCACATTAAGAATTTATCATGTCAAAAATCAAATTAATAAGGTATTAGTTGTCGTGCGAATTCATTTAAAAAAAATAAATGATTTATTCTAAAAATCACATTAGTCATTAATTGTTTTTAAAAAAATAAATAAATGCAATCAGATTATACAACTATTGATATCTGATCAATTTAATTTTTTTACATAAATGATCTATTAGATGAACCTTACATATTAAACTACTTATCCTATCCTATCAATGTTCTTCCAAATATTTTTTTTATTAAAATCAAATTGTATTTTACAATCGAGTCGAATAATTTTATCATCCCTAGTGGGACAACTCTCCATGCTACCTCTTATTTTTACGAGAGATAGTCCATTATACTAAGATGTGTATTTTTAATATTTTTGATAAGATTTTATTATAAAAATCATATATATTTTTTTATGATGTACAAATATACATAATAACATTTTTATATATGAGCTCCTTTAATGTCACATAATTAGAGCTCCTTTAGAGCTCTTATTTTAAAGTTACCAAATATTTTTGTTTATATATTTAAGGTAAATTATCAATAAGTTATAATAATTTGACTTAATTTTCATCAAATCTTATTGAAAATAAGTCATAATAAAATCGTTCTTAAAAATAATTTTTTGTATATTACTAAAAATTGATAATTAGTGGGCGTTTTTTTAATCACGATTTTTATAAATTGTAACTAAAACTTAAAATTAGTGACTTTTTTTATGACGAATTTTTCAAACTATCAGTAAAAATTAAAAATTAATGACATTATTTTGTGGCTATTTTTTAAAACTGTCGCTAAAATTTATAAGTAGTGATATTTTTTATGACAATTTTTAAATTGTTATTAAAAATTAACAATTACTAACGTTTTTTTATTAATATTTGATAGAAAATATTATTAATTATCATAAAATCAATTAAATAATAAATTTAATCTATACGTGAATTTCCGTTTTATTTTTTCATATAGTTTACTTTTGCATTAAAAATGTTCGTGACATGGGCGGTGAATAATAAATTTGGAGGGTCCCAACACGGAACAATCCACACATATCGTGGACCCTACTCATGGAGGTTGTACACTACACAATCAACAATTGACTCAGGTTTTTTGCCCTCATATGGACGTCAATCATAATGACTAGAAACTTCACAGAATCTCTTACCTCTTATTTTTATTTTTATTTTATTTTATTATTTATTTTCAATTTTTTACAGAACCTTTCAATTATTTCATTTTTTAAATTTTGATTGTAAAGGGTCTTTCTTTAATGCAACTTGGCTGACTTGGGATTTTTTTTTTTTTTTCTTTTTTTTGATGACCGGAGAATCTCCAGGCTGGGTCTATTTATGAAAATTTTACAAGTCAATTTGAGAAAGAATGTCGAAAAATCCATCACTCACTCTTCGATTTCAGTCAAGAACTATAAGAAAGATAGTATAGATTTTAATCCCTAAATTTTAAGTCACGCAAACTGTTATCTTAGGGGTTATTTGGGATGACCTAAATAAATGTACTTTTTGTCTTTTTACGAAAAGATGTGCAAAAAAGTAGAGAGGTAATGTGATGAAAAAAAGATAAAAAGACAAAATGCGTACTTATTTTGAGTAGCCAAACTTGGCCTTACAAACTAATCTAAGCCTTTGACATTAACTTGGGGTCTTTTCTCTCTCCAAAAATAATCACAAAAGCCCCCACCAGAAAAATCATTCGCAAATTTCCAACATCTCTTCTCCCATTGGAACTTCCCTTTTTTTACCACATCTTTTCTCCCGTACAACTTGCCTTTTGGTTCACACTGATAGAGTATATCGACAAAATTAGTTTAAAGGGGTAGAATTCACAATTTTAAATATGGTAAATATATATTTTTGTATGAAAGAATTGATTATTTTAAATCAATCACAAATTATATTTTGTTCACAGACTTTATAAGTGCATAAACAAAATCATTTTCATCTATGATGATACTTAACCTTCTCCCCAAAAGGATTTAAATTTGTTCACAGACTCCCACACATAATCTCATTGGTCCAAAGTTGTCGGCTTCATATTTAAAAAGGGTATTGATTTCACCTAAAATTATGATTATCATTATTTTAAATCAATCAAAACTTGTGTGTTCACACACTTTAATAGTGTGAAAAAAATCGAACTCCTCCAAAAATAATCAAAAAAGTTTGAAGTAAAAATAAAATCATTAAATAATTTTAGAATATCAGGTGACATTATTTATATGATATTCTTAACAAATAAAAAATTAAAAAATATACTTAGATTAAATCATTTTTTATCTTTCAACTACCCATAAAACTTTTCACTACACCATTAATTGAGAAACACATGATATTCGGAAACTGAATAGTTACCCTAATCATTCACAAATAACCAACCCATGTAACTATATATATAACTCTTCAAAAACCTGTATATAAAAGAATTGATATTCCCTTCCCATACCAAACCTAGTATCAAAACACATTATACACACAACCCTTCTAAGCTCATATCTCCCACAGCGACTTTCCTTTTGGTTCACACAAGAAGAGAGCCAAATATGGATCAAAATGAGAAACAAAAGCTTCAAACTAGTATCCAATCCAACAAGTACCGCCAGTTCCTCATGAAGACTATGCAGTTTCTCTTATCTGTCTCTGTTTTATCGTTCCTTCTCTCTTACTCCTCGGCCATCTCTCACTTCTTCCACTACTTCAGTTTTCGCTTCTCCACATTGCTTTTCAGCCAGACAATAGAGAGAAAGTATATTTTCCTTATTTGCAATGGAATCGTTGCTGTTCTCGTGAAAAACTTGAGCTTCACCAGCTCTTCTCCTCCTGGTTCTGATCTTCGCGACGTGTTTGCAAAGACTGATCAAGAAGATGGTATGAAGCCAGTGTTAGAAATGGAAGCTCCGGTTGAAGATGAGGAAACAAATGTCGCCTGCATAGAAGAAGAACAAGAAAACGGATCATTGAATATAAAGCAAGAAGGAGATAGTCGAGCTCTGATCACAGTCACTGATGATGAAGAAGAAGAAGAAGAAGAAGAAGAAGAAGAAGAAGATAGTGGGTCCTTGATTCCTCCACTATCAGCAGAAGATGAAGGAAATGAAGTGAATGTGAGTACAGAAGAGTTGAACAGGAAATTCGACGAGTTCATAAGGAAGATGAAGGAAGAAATCAGAATTGAAGCTCAGCAACAACTAATCGCTGCATAATTCGCATCTTGATACATTAACAATGAGTTTGGTATCAGTATCTTTTTAGATGGTTTAGAACTCTAATGTAATAGTGTTTTTCAGCTTTGTTAATCCTTTCTTCATGTAAATGGGACTTGTTCTCTTCCCTCCCTTCCAGTTTTTAGAATGAAATTATGAGCAAAAACTTGGCCTTCGTGTTGTTGGGAATTGAAAGCATCTAATTAGGATCGGTTCGACATGAAAAATAGAGAGAACAAATAAACAAGAATTTTAAATCATAGGTATACAAAAAAAAAAAGAAAAAAAAAAGAACAAGATTTATGCGATTTACTCTAAAATTAGGACTACGATTAGAAAATGTTCCAAACAAGATACAAAGATGGCTATTCTCTCAACTACGTATACATTGGATTATGGCAACAAGTCAAAAGTGCAGAAATATTAAAAATACCCTTATTTCAAATTCGTGCTGGGAAACAAGCCACTTCAAGTGGTTGGTGACTAGTAGGTATTAGGATTCACACTTCCTAACAATCAATACTTGTTACTTTTCATCAAATTAGGCAATAGTGCAACTCCTGATTTTTTCAGTTTTATGAATAATCTGATGAGATTTTTGAGTCCAAGTTGGCTTAAGTTGATTCATGGTCCTAGGGTTGTAGAAAATACTAGAAAAGGAAAGAGTTAAATAATCAAAATGGACAAACTATCTGTAGTATATATAAATCATATAATACTAGATTCTAGTACATTAAAATTAAGAACCTGTAGATGCCAAATAATATAATAAGTTTGTTTAGTTGTCCAGTACTTTCTTAGATGATTATGTATTGCCTCTCCTGGAATGATTAATTTTGGCTTAAGCCCACCTAAATTCATATTAGTACAGGCCCATATGAAGAGCATTATGTCATGGACAAATATTAAGAACAAGTAGATGCCAAAGAAGGTAATTAGGTCGTTTGGTTGTCTGTTTGTCAGATGATTATGTATTCAGCAATGCGACGGATCATTCTAGATATGACACATCACTAAATTTAAATCTAGACTATATATTTAATTATTGAAATTTTTGTTTTTTATTATTTATTTATTTATTTATCTCTCCTTGAATGATTGTCCACCTAAATTTAATCTCAAATTTGAAGTCAGAAAAATTCTGGGATCACAAATCGTATAAATGACTAAGGCCCCGTTTGGGAACTTACCTTTTTAGTCAAAAAGTCAAAAAGTTACTTTTTTAGCCAAAAAGCCAACAATTCATATCAAAAAGTCAAAGATTCTTTTTTCTCTCTACTTTTTGCACATCTTTTCGTAATTAGCCAAAAAGTCATCCCAAACATATAATTTTTTTTTACTTACTTTTTTAGCCAAATAGTCAAAAAATTACTAAAACCAGGCCTAACTAGAGACCTTTCTCCCTCCACCATTTGGTTGCTTTCATTTCAGTTCTTCTCAAATCTATTAAATATTATATTTTACAAGATGTGTTTCCACAAATTTGCCATTCTTTGGCTCCATCTGTGTGGCATGTTATGATCCTATTCACCCAAATGACTTCATTTGCACCTGCAAAAATTTTGTCAAGACATCAAGTAAAATTTTCTTGAGACTAATATGGCTTCACTAATATCTCTCACTACTAGAAATATGACTTTTTAAGTTTATTTTTTTTGCGACTGATTATTTAGCGGTTGCAAAAAATCACTTTTTACATAAAAAAAGAAAAATCACCCAATCATGTTGTTAACTAAAACTTGACCTATCTCCCCTTTCACTCTTAGTTTCCAAATCTGTCTCCAACAATGGTGTATGAACTCTCTCTCTCTCTCTCAAAATCTCTCTCGCTTGACTCTCTCTTTTGACTCTTCACTCTCTCTCGCTCGAATCTCACTGTCCACAGTCGAAGCTATTCGTATGTATTGCCATTCTCACACTCTTCGGAGCTTCCGAAGCAAAATTTTCAACCACAACACATTGCTTTGTTTCTCTTCTTCATAAATATCATTTCTTTGTCTTTGTAGCAATCTTCTTCTTCTTCTTCTTCTTCTTCTCTCTCTCTCTCACTTTCTCTTTCTCTCTCTTCAATCGCCGGAGTTTCCATGGTTGCTTATTCCACTGCCGGATCGGCCTTCGTCGCCTTCAAATCCGCCTAAATTTCTGCTCATTTTGGCAATTTGAAACTCTCTAATTTCTGGCATTGCTCTCCGATTTCAAGTCGAGTCAGATCTATTCAGCTCCGACATAGCTTTACTCGCATTGTGGATCTCGAAGCTCCTTTGCTTCGTCTAGTAATCATCACTCTATGTTCTGTTTAATGACATCACTGAATGAATTGAATCGAATCAGTTAATTTCATAGTCACTCGTAATTTGTTAGGTTTAATATAATCTATCGCCACTACTTCTCTCTTTATTTGATTTAGGAAATCTAGATTTTCAATTATTTGCAATTCTTTCTTTTCTCATTTGAAAAGTTTCTATCCATTTTCCATTCTTCTCACATATACATGCATATTTTTATGCACACGTCTGAATTCTATTATTTTTTGTTCTACGATTATTTTGTGATCAATCTACTTTGAGCTGTTTTTTCTTTGGTTAGTAATGGAAAGCAAGTTTGCATGGCAAACACTTTTGTTCCTTATTACTAGACTTTTTTATTCTACAGAGTCACTCATTCAGCCAAGAAGGTCCAAAAATGTAATAAATAGGAGTAGAGAATTCACAAAAAAATAAATAAATAAAATTGAATAAGAAGAAAAATGAGATGCTCATTTGTCTGTCTCTAAATAATATACAGGTAAAAAATGAACAAGAAAATTCAATGGAATAATTCATAGGTTTGCCGTAGAGACATCTCAATCTTGAAAGGAATAGCAAGGGACCAAATTATTTGTCAAGTTTGTGTTTGTGTGTAAGAAATTGCTAGGTATAGCAGAGATAAAAAGAGGTGGTTGAAAATGAACAAGAGACTTTGAGCTATAGTATTATAACCAAGCGAAACTCAAAGGTTAAAATCTAGATATATAAAGAAAAAACAGAACAAAAAATATGCATGTATATGTGTGTCTGCCTAAAAGCAAGTCAGATTATTTTTTTGTGTCTGCGTAAATGCTACCTTGGATTTTTTCAATTTGTCTTGATATTATTAATTCCTTGTTTTGAATAAGAGTTGGATTTTTTATAAATTGGTTTTTCTTTATGTTATTTTATTTTATTTTTTGAATTATTAGAATGGCAATGGAGAATTTGTCTATTTATTATATGTCATAGTATATGTATATTCATTCAAAGATAACAACAACATAACACTAATTCTCACTCACTGTTTTCTTTCTCCTATTTGGCTGTAGATGCCACCTCATTCTTCCTTCAGCATCCAACCCACTGGATATCCATCTATTATTCTGTAATTCATATATAATCTACTTGAAGATTCGATGGAGATTTTTATTAATTTTTGAGATTACAGTGTTGTCATCTTGTGCATGTTGTTGAACTCATGATTGATCTTAGTGTAGTGTTAACTACGTGATTGTTTCATAACTTCAGCCCAATTAGTTTCGTCTATTTTCATTAAATTAATTAGTGTAGTGATTGTTGAACTCAAGATTGATCTTTCCATTTTTTCTTCCCAAATGCCAAATAGTTCTCCAAAGTGATGCATGATTGTCAATACCAGCAAATGAATCTATCTTCAAAATAAAAATCCTGGCAAGAATTCACCATGAAGCACCAGACCTAGAATTAAACAAAAACACCTGCATAACATCCAATCTCAAATTAAGAATCACACACAGAATTCAAGCATTCTTGAAACCAAATTTATTGTTTTGAGAGAGAGAGAGAGAGAGATGGAAAATCCAACTAATAGATATTGAGCAAGCGTAAGTGCAAAGAGGATTTTCATAAAATGGTATCACTTTGCCTCATATCTGTGTCTCAACTTGTGAAATTTTTATGCCTTCTTAGCACATTTGGTAGATATACATATGTGGACTTGCCTTTTTCTGCGCCCCCCTTTCGGAAGGTTTGAAATAAAAGGCCTCACAGTTCGGACTCCTGTGGTTCTGAATCTAATCTCACAAGTGCAATGTGAAACTGATAACACCAAAGAGTCCAAATTCGGCAAATCGTTTTGAAAAATTGATTTTAAATCAAATAATGTCAAAATTGGACTGCTTTGCCAGATATAGAGTTTTCACCTAAATATTTTTTGTTTTTGGAGAAATTTAGGAAACTTTGAATCGTGCCAAAGGCCACTTGTCCGTCATCACCAAAGTTGCCACGGTTAGAGAACTTGGGTACGAGAGGAGAAAGTCCTGAATTAAGCACCCCCACTCGCCCGATCAAAGATCGACATCTACTAATCATGATATGATTTTTTTATAAATATCATGTGTTCTTATTCCGGTTATTAAACTAGCTTTACTATGTGATGCGCACAAGCAAGTATAGACTAGTTTGCTCAATTTGGAACAATTCAACTCATATTTGTTTGTAAAAATGGTTTGAATTTGCCACCTCAAGTGGGCTTAAAAGATGCAAATTTGTCACCAAACATAGTGGGCTTAAAATATGATTTGTCACTCAACAAAGTGGGCTTAAAACACACATTTGTTGAATTGTTCTAATTCAAACAACAAGCCTCCATCGACAAGCATTCATGCAGTTTAGCATTTAAGCACATAGCCTCATGGCAAGCATGCTAATCATGGCATTATGGCAATCACACTTATGCAATTATGCTAAAGCGTAAAAACTCATCAAGTACTCCAAGCCAAAACAGAAACTAGTTAGAAAGATGCATGATCCTAACTATGTTAAGTGTCTAATGCAACACATGCAAAGAATGCAATTAATAGGCTGGGCTACTAATATGACATATGTATCGATTTGAACAACATGCGATACGAATGAATGATGCGTCGTCATATGAAATTGCAATGTAGTTTGAATGATGCGTCGAGCCTCGGTGCATGCAATACGAATGAATGGATGTCAGCATAAGGTATGCTGATTTGAAATATGTCCATAATCTAACCATCAAAAGCGGATAAATAAAAGGGAGAAAGACGTGGGGTTGGAAGACATACATACATGCATGTACACTTATTACAATATTACACCCTCACGAAGGAGGGTCGGAATGGATAAGCTAACCAACTAGCTACGCTAATTA